TTGCCATCCTCTTGCCTCTGTCTCCTGAGCAGCTGGAATTTCAGGCATGCACCATAAATAATTTATTTTTAATTAACAATAGTATGTATAGTATATGGTGTATGGTTTTAAAGAGTTTGCATATATTGTATATGGTTCACATCTCAGTAAAGCTGCTAAAAATGAAGTTGAAAAACCCACGAGACAGAAATGTACCTACTGAGTGCTAGGAGCTCACCAGCCCCTGAAGCCGGCTTCAGGCCTCAGCTGCTCCCGCCCAGTGCACTGGGACTGCCATGCTTGTCCTTGCTCCCCAAGGTCTTCGGGAGCGAGGAAGCAGCAGGTTCACGAGAGCTCCAGGCCCTTGTCCATCGAGCGCCCTGGGGCTGTGCACCCCTGGGTGAGTGCCCAGCTCCGAAATGCTGTCCAGCCCTCGCATCTCTTCATTCAAGACCCCACGATGCCTCCCAACCCGGCCCCCAACCCCTTGACCCAGCTGGAGGAGGCCCGCAGGCGTCTGGAAGAGGAGGAGAGAGCCAGCAAGCTGCCCTCCAAGCAGAGGTGGGTGCAGGCACTTGATCAGACAGCCTGCTGCCCCTCTGCTGAGGCTGCAGGTGGCCCTGCTGTGGGTCTAGGTGGGATACTGAATGTCGCCACTGCCCCTTGGGGAGGAGAGCCGGCGTGTTCTCTGGCACCTGTTCTGGTGGAGGCCACAGATCCCCAACTCAGCAGGGACAGGTGACCGTCAGCCGCTGGGTAATCTGGGCTCTGTGGTGGGCAGGACTGCAGCCAGCACTGAGGCCCAAGCGCCACACCTGCTGCCTGCCTTGAGGCAGCATCTCCTCTCTAGGGCAGCAGCATTTTCTCTCCAGGCGAGAATACGCTTCTGACCCTTTGGCTGGAATTCCCAGTGGGTCAGGTCTCTGTGATACGTAGAGATGTGTCCCTCACCAGGTCCTGGGCCATGGTCACAGAGGCCTCTGTTTCCCTCAGAAGTTACTGGCCCTTCACTGAGCATCTTGGATCCTCCCAGCTGTGGGGCTGCCCTATTCTGGGCTGCCTAGAGGATAAGGCTGGGTTCAGCAGGCTTCCAGCCCATCTGCTACACTGGTGTCAGGTGACACTGCCCTGCCACTGACGGGCTCCACAGACCTGTAACAGGCTCTGAGCCTGCACCCACTTCAGAGCCAGGGTGACAGTCACCTGAACCGAAGGGGCAGCCAGCCACATTGCTGTTAGCCTTCTTCACTCCTCCTCTGTGTAGGGACGTTCCCTCTTGGTGCTGAGATCCTATGCATGTCTGGCTGGAGCCTGCCCCAGTCTGGGTGGGGTACTCTGGGAAGACACCTGCTGTGGTGTTCTCCTGGCCTGGGACATCAGCTGATCTGCAGGAGCTGCCTCTACTGTGCATTTTGGGGTGCAGTTCCCATGCCATGGTTCCATCTGGTGGCTCCAGCAACTCCAGGTGTAGGGATAACCCTGGAATTGCTGGGTTTATCTGTCTGTCCAGGGGATGGGCTTTTTGCAAGCAGCTAGATATACGGAACAAAGCAGAGAAGGACGTGGCCTTGGGCCTTGCGGGCCCTGCCCAGGCTGGTCAGGGTGGAAATCGTTCTCAGGGCAGTTCAGCAGCCTATTCAGACATGGGCCCCTGCAGAAGGGCACTGTGACCCCAGGACAGGTCTCCCTCATAGGACCATGGATCCCCAGGGGCTGCAGATTGCCGAGTAGGGCCCCTGTGCTTCAGGGGAGGCTGCAGGTGGGCTCTGCAGCACAGAGGGTCGTCCCTAAGGACGAAGCATAGCTTTAACTCCCAGATCAGTGCTCCCAAGTCATGTCTCAACTCAGAACTCAGAAACCTGGGGCTGTGCACACCTGGGTGAGTGCCCAGCTCTACAATGCTGTCCAGCCCTCGCATCTCTTCAAACGTGGTGCTCCAGACCCAACAGTCAGGCGCCCTGGTATGGCGTCCCCTCCACCTCCCACAAGCACATTCCCCCTCCCCTTGCCCTTCTGTCTGGCAGTGCTGGCCGTGGTCCCCTCCCCAGTGACGCGGGTTGTTCTCTAGGTATGTGCAGGCGGTTATGCAGCGGGGACGCACCTGCGTCAGGCCAGCGTGCACACCTGTGCTGAGCGTGGTGCCAGCCGTGTCGGACTTGGAGCTCTCCGAGACAGAGTACGTGTGCCTGGAGGGTCCTCCACTGCCACCTACCCCAGCCAGTCTGGCACACCCCCGCCAGGTCGAGCAGCTGTTCTGGGCATGAGTCCAGGCACCATGTCTGAGGCAGTTCTGGAGAAGGGGGCACCAGCTCCCACCTTTCCTCCCATCCCTGTCTAGGAAGTCACTGCTACTCTGTGGAGACAGGCCGGAAGGCCAGGGTGCGTCTGGGCCTGTGGCCTGTCCATACAAGCACTACCTCCTACTTTGGGCTTGCCTGTGCCCAGGCTAGGGTGTGTGGGGAAGCAGCCATGTCCCTTGAAATGGTACCAGGGGCTTTAGACAGGACTCACTTGGTGTGGTTCATGGACAGTGTGACTGGCCAGAGCCAGGAACGAGGACCTGCCCTGCTGCACATGGACATGGCCGACCTCCCCCTTCCTGGTTCCTGCTCCAGGCAGGCATAGGGGGCTCACCCCAAAGAGGGGCATAAGGATGGGATCTGTGTAAACAAGGGACTGCAGAGCCCCCGCTCCAGAGCACTCCTCACCTGCTCCTTCTGTCCCTGGAGAAGCATGTCCATTGGGATGGCACTTCTCTAATGGCTTCCGTGAGCTCTGAGAGTTCAGTACTGAGGGAAGGTCTAGAAACGCAGGTGCCTGGGAGCTTGGTGTGCAAAAGAGTTACACTGCCAAGGTGACCCTTTCACCTGGGGGCAGGGAGACAAGTGCCCATTGTTGCCTTCCTGCCATGAGATTGGCTCTGGAAGCTTCTGGTGTGCCCAGCTCAGGGACCCAAGGCCAGGCCCTGTTGTGCCTGGGCAGCTTCTGGGAGCACAGGGTCGTGACCTGCCTTCCCAGATCTTGCAGCTGTGTGGCACCTGCCAAGAAAAGGGCCCACCTCCTTCTGGGCAGGATGTTGTATTGGCCTCATCGGCCCTGGAGGTTTGGCCAGCTATAGCCAGTGGGGACTTTTGCTTTGAGGTCTGATTGCCCTGTCCTGGCCCTTCGGATATTTCAGGAGCTTCAGAACTTAGGTATTAGTCGGGTACTAGCAGGTGGCCACCTGGTTGTGGGGACAGCAAGTGCTCTGCCTGGCTACAGCAAGAAGCCACGTGCCTACTTCATGTGGCGGGTGGGCACTACCTCCCACCAGGCAGCAGGACCTGTCCTGGTAGGCCAGTGAGGACTGGCCAGGGTGACTTCCATGTGGGCAGGGTCTTTGCAGGTGTGGAGCTGCTGAGCAAGGGCCCCAGCTCCCCTGAGCAGGCACCAGCAGTCCCAGTAGCTGCTACTCTCTCCTGTAGGACGAGGGCGCAGCGGAGGGCGGGCAGTGGAAGTGCCCAGCCCTGCGACAGCATCGTTGTGGCCTACTACTTTTGCGGGGAGCCCATTCCCTACCGGACCCTGGTGCGGGGCCGCACAGTCACCCTGGGCCAGTTCAAGGACTTGCTGACCAAGAAGGGCAGCTACAGGTAAGAAGAGGACCTGGGGCCTTAGTGAGGTGCCACTGTGCAGGAAGAGCTGCTTTCCCACCTCCTCCTGCCCTCGTCTGCACCCTCAGCCTACTGCTCCCAGGCCTGTGCTAAAGGTGGGGGAACAGGCCCAAACAGGTCGGTGTATGTGCTGGGCTGACCTGGGCTCCAGCCTCACAATTCAGCTCCTCCCTGCTGAGGCCTCTGGATTCCTGAGAAGGGCAGAGGGTGGAGAGGGCCCTGAAAGCCAACCTCAGAGTCTGGTGGAGGCTGCCAGGTCAGTCTCTGTCACCGAGTGGCTACGGGAGGAGCCCAGCTCTCCACGCCCACCTGCTCCTCATCACAGCACCTGGGCCAGGCCACGGCTCCCAAGGGCTATGGACACTTCCCAGCAGGCAGGGAGCTGGCAGCACCACAGTGGTCACTGCACCATATGGCCACAGGTGGACGCAACTTGTGGGCTCTAGGAGAAACCCCTCTCACTGGCTGCGGCCCCATCCCCAGGTACTACTTCAAAAAGGTGAGCGACGAGTTCGACTGCGGGGTGGTGTTTGAGGAGGTTCGAGAGGACGCGGCTGTCCTGCCCATCTTTGAGGAGAAGATCATCGGCAAGGTGGAGAAGGTAGACTGACATGAGGCCAGCACAGCACAGCTTCGGAGCCTGGGGTCGCAGGGAGTGCCCAGCTGTGCCCTTGGTACCTCAGAGCAGTCCCAAGGCTGGTCTGTCCTGCCCAGGAGAGGGAGGCCCACCACAGCAATAGCAGAGTCCCCGAGCCAGGCTACCTGCCTGGAGCTGCAGGAGACCCCAGCAGCCCCTGCTGCCCACCTCGCAAACCCGCAGGCCTCACTGGTCCCAAACGCCAGTGTCACTGCTCCCCCTGGACTTGCCCCAGCACCCGGTCAGGCCCAGGCTGGGTGCAGGGGCCCCTGCAGATTGTACTTGTCACTGAGTGCCTTCAACATGCCCTCTCTCGCCTGTCACTGTGTGAATCCCGCAATGAGCACCTTGGGGCCTGTCTCTGGCTGCCAGCTCAGCGGGTGGGGACCCTCCTTTCTAAGGGCCCATGTAAATATGTACATTTCTCAGGCCAGGGCCAGCAGGGGGCTGACCCAGCCGTTTTCCATGCAATGACTTGTACAATGATCTTTTCAAGGTACTTGGATAGTAATGAAATAAAAGTTTTTGGAGCTGCCTTGTCTGTGGAGTGACTGACTACAGCTGATGGGCCCAGCTGAGCCCTGCCATCCTCAGACCCATCAGTGAAGGTCATGGTGGAGGGGGACACTGCAGGCAATGGCTGCAGAAAGGCCTCACACGGTGCAGCGGGCCCAGGAGGCTGAGGCTGGCCACGGCCGTGCTGCCAGCCTTGCCAGGAACCACACACTCAGTCCAGGAGCAAAGCTCTTTATTCACGGAGCACAGCTTCTCCAGCCAGGATCACCTGCCACTTGCAGTTGGCAGTGATGTGGTGGCTACAGCTCCTCCCGGGGCCCCACACTGGAATTGGCTAGTGGCTCCTAGAAAGGGTCACAGAGGCCCAGCTCAGCTCTGCCCTCGGCCCACCCCAAGTCCTGCCAGCCCCGCCTGGAGGTGACCTGCCCAGGGCTTAGAACCCTGGATGGGGTGCATACCTGGAAGGGGGCTGTGGGTGCCTCTGCTGGCAGCTCACCCCCACTGTCCAGGAACTTGGAAAAGCTCTCCAGGTCCCTGTTGCCCTTGTATTCCATCATCTGGGGAGGAGTGGGAAGCTAAAGGCACTTCCTGCTACAGCCCACCAGCGTCAGCCTGGAGCCAGGCCTGGCTGCTCCAGCCCCAGCCCTAGCTCCTCACCTTCCGATCCCGCCCTGCAGGGAAGTACAGGAGCCTGGGGAAGCCAGACACAGTGAAGGCCTCCAGCTCATTAGCCGTAGCGTCCAGCTCAGCAATGATGATGTCTTCGTGGTCCCTGTACTTCTCAGCTAGTGCCTCCCAGGCCGGGGCCATCTCCTTACAGTGGCTGCACCATGGGGCATCTGTGAGGTGTCATACTTGGTTAGCTGGGTCCCCGCATATCCACCCACCCACCCACCAGCCTCAGTACTCACAGAACTTAACAAAGACATTCTTGGTTTCGTCGAAAGCCACCTGCTCAAAATTCTTGCCCACAAGGGTCTTGACGGGCCGCTGGTCCCAGTCAGGGGGGACCTCTTGGCTTAGCAGGTAGGGCTGTGGGCCACGCCAGGAGCTCTGGTGTTGTGTGGGGAAGGACCCCAGGAGTGGTTGTGCCCTCCCTGCCCCACCCTGTGGCGCTAGCCAGCTCACCTTGAGTTTCCCACTGAAGACCATCTGGCAGAAGGCTGCCACGGAGGCTGAGGTGATAGGCCCCCCGCCAGGGGGTGCATACTTCTTAGTGGTCTCAATGTTAACCAAGCGCAGGGTGGGGGCCTCCTCAGCCTTGAGACCAAAGTACTGCAGTACGTGGTCATTGCTGGCATCCACGTCCACCACCACAAACAGCACCTGCCAGCAGAGAGTCCATGCTGGGCATCTTGCCACCATGTCACCCCTTCCTCCTGCTCCCCCAGTACCTGCCCCCTGAGCGGGGGAGCCGCCTCCCGGAAGCCCTCCAGGAGCTCCCTATGTGAAGCCAGCGTCTGGTTGACAAACAGCAGCAGATGGTTGAGGATCCTGGCGCCGAAGATCCTCCGGGAGGTCTGTGGAATGGTTTCCTGTGACTCCCAGGGCCCATCCAGCCAGCTCTGCACCCCCAGGCAGCTGAGCTCACCTGGTGGCTGAACTCCGTCACCAGGAGCATGCTGTGTGTGATGAGGAAGCGAGACAGGTCCCCCAGGTCCAGACCCAGCTCCTCATCCACTGGGAAGTCGGCCCGTCCTTCATCGAACTAGACACCAGGAGGGTCAGCTAGGGCCATAGCCCTAGCCCTGACCCCTGCCTCAGCGCAACTCACCTTCTTGAAGAGGACCACAGTGTCCTTGGTGAGGCCAAACTTCTGAAACAGCTTTGGCTGGTCAGTGAAGCCAAATGTCATGTCCAGGGCATCGCGGGCCAGGGCCAGGAAGGTGGCCACATCCTCATCCTCCAAGTCCTACAGGCCCAGCTCTTGTGAGGCTGGCAGGTACCACTACTGCTGCCCCTGTGGCCTGGCCCCCAGCCCAGCCTACCTGGAAGAAGCCGATGACAACCACGTCCCCGGCATCCATCAGTGCCTGTGCACCCTCTTCATCCTCCAGCCGGGTGGCACTGGACCCCACCCGTCGCTTTAGCCACTCAACGATGCCCTTGGCCTCCCTGGGGCCTGTGGAGTGTGCCCTCAGTCTAGGCAGGCCCCAGCCCACCCCACCCCAGGCTGTGTCTACCCCACACCTGTGTACTCCTCGGGGTGCGTCCGATTCCCATCACGGAAGAACTTGAGCGTGGGGTACCCTGTCACACCAAACTCCTCCGTCAGTTCCCGCTCCGCAGGCCCATCCACCTTGGCTAGCGTGGCTGTGACCGACTCAGCTGCTAGCAAGGCAGCCGCCTTGCTGTACTCAGGGGCCAGCGCCTTGCAGTGCCCACACCACGGGGCGACTGGGGGATGAGGCCATGAGTGCCAGGCCTGCACAGCCACAGCCCCTCCCCGCAGATCCCGAGGGAGCAGGGGTGTGCTGTGCACACTCTCCTTAGGCCCCACACAAGCCTGGGCCATGGCCGGGCTGACATCAGGAGTCAGATTCTCCAGGCCCCCAAGTTTGAGGCACAAGGGACAACAAGGTGTGGCTGGGGTTCCTGGGACACACATGGCTGCCTCCTGAGGCTGCCGCGAGGACGGATTTGACATTTATTTACTAGGGTGTCCACAGACCCAGATCCCCATGCTTCTGTAGAGAGCCTGCAGAAAGACCCTCCACCAGCAGCTTGGAGAAGTGGCCATGGGGCAGGACGTCAGCCTGAGGGCACAGATGGCCAAACAGGGTGTTCTCATGTCCCCTGGGCCTCCCCGCATAACCACCACCCCTCCACACTCCATCCCAGAGCTCCCTGCCCTAGGGTGCTCCTAGGAAGCCTGGAGTGCTGGGCACAGTGCCTCTGGGAAGATCCCCCAGTCCACAGGGCTGGGGCTGGAGACCCTGGGTAGTCCCTGTGGCCCCCCACACACTGGCCCAAACACTCACAGAACTCCACCAGCAGGGCTGGGTACTCCTGCAGGGCCAGACCCAGGGTGCGGTGGTTCAACACCAAGACCCCATCCTCCTTGGGGACCTCCTCCCCAGGGGTATCCTCCAGGAGATCCTCTGAGGGTCTCTCAGGTCCCTGTCCCTGTCCCTGTCCCTGTAGGCCTGAGGCCCCCAGCAGGAACAGCAGCAGCACAGGCAGAAGCTGGCCGTCCATGGCAGTGCCGGGCCCCAGAGGTTGGGGTAGATAAGGGGACTGGGGACCAAGCAGCAATCGACACGTAGCACCTGGGCCCTTTCTCAGGGACGATAAAGCTTGAGAGCACCCCCTTGAGGGAGGGGGAGGCATAAAGAGGCCACACGGCGGGCAGCGAGACGACATTTAATGGGGCACAGCGCCAGGCGGGATGCAGGACGGAGAGAGGGCAGGGTCTGGTCACTGACCAGGGGCCAGGGAAAGCTTGGGGTCCCTTGCAGCAGTGGACAGAGGTGGGAACAAGGGCCAGAGCCAGGATTCAGCCCTTCCAGTCCTGGCAGACACGGAGGCCCCACTCCCAGGACAGGTGGGCTGTCTTGTCGTCGTCTGTGAAAAGGGACCTGACAACGTAGGGTCCCCGCACCAGTGCGCCCCTCGGAGCCTCCTCCACTGGAGTCACGAACTCGTACTCCTGAGCCCTGGGGCCATAACTGCCTACCATGTAGACAGCCCTGTCCACTGAGAGAGGGACAGGGTGTCAGGGCTGCCCTCCACCTGCCCCACCTCACCCCCACCCGGCCCTCCACACTGCCCTCACCGCGCAGGCCCCTGCGGAAGGTGTGGTGCACACATTTGAGGCCACTGACGATGTCCTTGTTGACCTGTGGGACAGACGGCGTTAAAGGTTCCTCTGGGGCCAGGGCACTGGCCGGCCGGTGCCCCCCACCGCAGCTGCCCTCACCTTGAAGGTAACCTTCACCTGGTAATCAACACCCTCCTTCAGGATGAACGCCTGGCTTTTCAGCGCAGCCAGGTCCCCTGGGAGGGAAATGGCAGGTAAGCTCTAACTCCAGGGCAGGCTCATCCTGCCCCAGGAGCCCCACGTGGGGTGTGGTGCCCTCAGGGTTTCAGGATGGGCCCAGGGACTTGGGATGGGGCACAAGGATCCTAAGAGGTCTCTGCTCCAGAGACAAATGGTGGTGGTCTGCAGAGGCATTACCTGTGAGGTCCATGGTGATGGGCCCTGGAGCTTGCTCCGAAATCAGTGTCAGCCTGGTCACCTGCACGTTAGGCAGGCTGGGATCTGAGGAGGAGCAATGTCCATAGCATGCCCTGCTGCTCCCCACCCAGGCACAGCCCTCTAGGCCCAGGTTCCAAGCCCATACCCACTACAGGTGGCAGAGTTCCCAGCAGTGCTCTCTTGTACTGGGTGAGGCTCTCGTCCTCAGGGTCCAGCTGCCGGATCTCCAGGGCGCTCTTCTTCCCAGGTGCCTGGTACTCTGGCACAGCATCGTCCAGTGCCTCCTCCAGTGGTGTTGGCCCCCCCTCCTTGTCAGCCAGGAGAACTGGGAGTTGGAGAAGGCATATGAGGTGCTGCCCCCAGCTGACCCTGGCACTGGAGCACCCTGCTGGAGCACCCCCACCTGGCCAGCTGTGCCTCCCACTGCCCAAAGGACTACGAAGGAGGCAGGTGGTGGAGCTCAGAGGGAGGGTGAACCAGGGAGAGCAGTGAGGGCTCCCAGGGCACAGGCAGCATCCCACCTGCCTCTCCCACAAGAGCCCTGGTGGCTGGAGGAGGCTCCCAAGGCACCTGGCCAAGGGGCATCCTTGGGGCGCCAACTTGCTTCTGGCCAGATGTCCATCCAGGGGCCCTCCCTGACTCCGAGGCCAAACGTGGAGGAATGATGACCCCAAGTGGGGAACCACGGGGCTGGGACTACTGCTAGAGTGGTGGCCCCGGGGCCCTCCAGGGGGTCCCTACCTCTGGGCCCTTCCCATAATGCTCTAGCCCCCACCCATGGAGCCTCCAGACTAGGGTTCTCTGGAGCCCGAGCCCCACCTAGGGGAGAGACCCGTGCCTCCCTGACTTCACACGCGCGCGACCCTGGGCTTCCTTCCCCTTGCTGGTCGTTGGGAATCAAGCCCCCACCCCCGCTGGAGTCAGGCCGGGGCAACGCCAGGAGGTCCCCACGCGCCCCCAAAGTTGCCGCCAGGAAGGCCCACCGCCCACGTGGCCGCCACCCGGCCGGCCAGCCGCTCACCTCGGGCGCAAAGCGCCAGCCGGAGCAGCTCCAGCAGCTGCGCCCCCAGCTCGCACGCGTCCAGGCCCAGCATGGTGGCGCGCGGCCCGACGCGGAGCCGCCGCCCGGCTCGGCTCAGCCCCGGCGCGACTGCGGTGAGCTCATCCCGGCCGGGAGCGCCCCCCGCGCCCAGCGCCGCGCCCGCGCCGCGCGCCCCCAGCCGCTCCGCGGACCCCGCGCAGCCCGCAGAGACGCGCGTGTCGCCCGCACGGCGCCGGCACCCGGCCGTCCCCGCCGCCGCCGCCGCGGCCCGCCCCGCCCCGCGGCGCCCGCAGGAGCCGGGGTCTCCCCCGAGCCCTCGGGCGGGGCTGGGGAAGTGCAGCAGGTGCGTTCCCCCTCCCCCCCCCGTCCCCCGACTCTCATTAGCTGCAGGCGGCCAGGCCACACCTGGGCCCAGCAGCCCTCCGCCGCCCCTCCCCTCCGCCCCCGCGCACCGTCTGGGCAGCGGGGACTCCCGGGGCCACCTAACTTGGGGCGGGGGCTGGCACGCAGCCTAAGGGGACCTCGGCAGGCTGGCAGGCTGGTCTGAGCACCCTGAAGCTCAGTCTAGGCCACAGACACTAAAGGATGTGCCCGCAGGGCTGGTTTTTATCTGTAGGGGCCTGGGGACCCAGATAATTCGGGAGGTACTGCCCTCTGGGAAAGAACCATGAAGAAAATAGAAGGCAGGCGAGATGAGGGGGAAGCCAGGGTTTCTTGACACCTGAGAGCTGGGGATGGGTGTTGGGGGTCAGCCAGGGCAGGTGAGGGGTGAGCAGACCCTCAGCAGGAGACAGACCAAAGGCTGGGTCTGAATAAAGGGGGTTGCCCAACACCAGATTGAGTCCCCTTTCTTAGACACCTCTACCCCATCCCCATTTCTGGGGACACCCAGGAATCAGACCAGAGCCCCACTGTCTGAGCAAGAGGCCAGCCCTCTGTGCACTCTGGCTGGGTCTTCACCTGGCCAGTCTTTCCAAAACAGAATCCTGCAAAGGGGCCCTGGGCGCACTGGAGACCCACCCCCTGCTGCCCTTTTCTGCAGGACTGGAAGTATTAGGTCACTTGTCTCCAGGGGACAGCTCCAGCTGCTGGTGGCCTATAGCATCCAGATGTTCACTCAGTCTCAAAGCCAGCCTGACACACACCCCACCCTTCCCCGCCCACATACAGTGTGTATGGGAGTGGGGAATGGGTGACCTGGGATCTAAGAGGAAGAGTTCCTGCCTATGACAGGTGCCCCCTCCAGCCCCCAGCTCCACTGCCCCATGTCATTCTGGACCTGCACTGCCAGCACTGGTAATGGATTCAGGTGGCCATGTTTGGATGCTCCTGGCCCAAGGCCACCCTACCCACCTCCCTCCATCTGACCTCTGGCACAGGGAGGATAAATATAACATATAGCATTTCTACTTCTTATAAAGGGCTTCCTAATGGGGCCTGGAGGGCCTGGGCATATCTCAGGAGGGGATGGCCAAGCTGCTGGAGAAGGGACAGAAAGTGCCTGGACCCTGGGAATCTGGGTGAATATGGGTAGGGGGTGTTGAGACCTCCGTTCTCCAGTAAACCCCTTTCTATAGTTCCAGGGCACCCTGGCTAGGATCTCTGCCTGTTCACCTGCTGTCCCACCCAATCCCCTGTGTAGTTAAGGGGATGTGGCCATTCCCCTCTGAGGACCCCTGTTCAGGAACCCACGGTGTCACACACTCCCAGCAACCTCAACCACAGGACAACTCTGACACAGGGAAAAGCCAACACAGCTCCCATAGTGCTGGGAACCACGCGGACCAGCTCATGATCATGATCAGGGTCACACCAACCTGTGGTACCCACACAGGGCATGTGCGGTGGGTGCCGTGGTTTGCAGGGAAATACTCCTCAGGCTGTCAGAGACCCTTCTGACCCCACATCAATGACTGCTGCAGGTCCCGTCCGCCCTAGGGGACACACACTGGCAGCCTGAGACTATGGCAGGCCCAGAACCCTTGTTCCCCTCAGGCCCCTCCCCTGATGAGCCACTATTTGCTGGTTCCGCTCCAGGTCCGAGTCCACCCCCTCAGGGCCCCCTCGTCCTGTCGAAGGTGCGCCTCGCCCCACCTCCCCAGGCTCAGGCCAGGCCAGACCTGGGAGGGCATCCCTGGGTCCCAGTCGCCCCTGTCACCGCCCTGCGCTGCAGGCTCTCCAACACAGGCTGGGTGGCCAGCCTCTGCCCGAGGCCCCAAGGGTTAACCCAGGCGGGAGGGGCGGGGCCGCTCGGACGTCCACCGCTTAGGCATGGCCGCTAGCCCAGCGCCCAGTGGCTGGCGCCCCCGCGCGCAGAGGCCGCACCTCCGCAAGGTGGGCCTTCCAGCCCCTAGGGTCGGGGGGGGGGGGACGCGCAGGGGCTGGCCTAGCCCGCTCCAGGAGCCCGGTCCGGGGGCGCCGCCGAGACGCCCCTCACGGTCCCCTCGCCCAGATGGAGCGGATGGTCGTGAGGATGCAGGACCCTGACCAGGGAGTGCGGACGCGGAGCCAGCGTCTGCTCATCACTGTCATCCCGCACGCGGTGACGGGTGAGGCGCGGTGAGGGCCCTTGGCGGGGGGGGAGCAGGGAGCCAGGCCTGCGCCCACCCAGCCTCTCCCGTGCAGGCGGCGACATCGTGGAGTGGCTGGTCCGGAAGTTGTGCATCTCGGAGGAGGGTGAGAGTCGGCCAGCCCAGGGGCTGGGGAGGGCGGGCCAGGAGGAGCACTCACTCACGCCCCCGCAGAGGCGCTACACCTGGGCAGCCTGCTGGCGCAGCACGGCTACATATACCCGCTGCGCGAGCCCCGCAGCCTGGCGCTCCGGCCGGACGAGACGCCCTACAGGTTCCAGGTCAGGCCTTGCGCCCGAGCGACCCCGCCTGCCCCGCCGCCTGTCAAAGGGGACTCCGGAGGGGACTTGGGAGGGCGGGCCTGCTAGCGCTGGTGGGGGGTGTGGTGAAGTCACCGCTGGCGATTCACCGCCCCCTCCCCAGGAGGCTAGGATTGGAAGTGTCCCTGTGATAAGAACCAAGTTAAGGGTGGGGTTTCAGTTTCCTGGGGCCACTCCAGGACCCCCATAAAAAGGCATTACCTGCGGAGAACTCTGCCAGCTGCCTGCAGGGGATGTCCTTAAGCCTCCACCCCTGAAGAAGGAGGCTGTATTGGGGCGAGGACAGGATACCTGCACCTCAACGTGTTATTCAAACATGATGGAGCCCCCCTTCCTGCCCTTCCCAATCACATCCAAGAACCAGGCAACCCTAAGCTCTGATGTGACCACATCCAGGGCTTGGGCAGGCCCCCACCCCTACCCTATCCTAGGGGAGAGCAATCTGTGTGCAAAACCCTAAAGCTTGAGTCGGACTCAGTCCAAGTGGTGAGAATGGAGAGTGGTCCACTAAGCTCTTGGAGGTGGGCAGATGGCCAGCGGATGGGAGCTGTGAGGGTGAGCAGTATATGGGTGGAAGGGCTCAGGAGGTGCCTTACATCCTTACCCCACAACATGGCTAGACACCCTACTTCTGGACCAGCACTCTGTGGCCAGCTGCCGAGTTGGACTATGGTGAGTGTGGAGCACCTGGGGCTAGCACCGGGCCAGCTCCCAGGATTGGGCAGAGCTTGTCCCTCTGCAGCCTGCTCCCTGTCTTTCCAGCCATCTACTTGACCAAGAAGAACATACAAAGGCAGGGAGCCCTGGTCACCCATGAGAAGGTGAGGCCCAGCAGGCTGAGTCTAGCAGGAAGAACCCAAGCCTCACAGTCTGCCCCAGAGTGTGCAGCTCAGTCTTTGAGACAGTCCATACCCGCTTTGCTCTTGCTGGGCAGGCCCCCACCCCACCTACCCTGAAGGGGCAGCTAAATGCTCCCAGAGCCAGAGAGACAGCCCCTGCACAGGGCCTCAGGGGTGGGCTGGCCTCCATTCCAGGTGGAAAGATCTCACACACACACACACACGCATCACTTGCTCCCTCGCTCTCACTGAAGAGGTGGAGTCCATGTCCCAGAACTGGGTATGCAAGGGGTCACCCACTGGAGACCTCATGTCCCCAGGAGCACTATGACCAGTTGCATAAGAAGATCAACCACACCTGGGACCTGGTAGTGATGCAGGCTCGGGAACAGCTACGGTGAGCCCTGTCCCTGTCTATGCCCACACCCAGTGACACCAAGCCTGGCAGTCCTAGAACCAGAAAACATCCCAGGCTCCAGGTCCTGAGCAGAGTGGGAATGGGGGGACTCTGCTTAACCTCCCCCTTCCTCCAGGGCTGCTAAGCAGCGCAGGAAAGGGGACAGGCTGGTCATTGCATGCCAGGAGCAGACATACTGGCTGGTGAACAGACCCCCGGTGAGTCCCTGTGACATGAGGGGGTGGGTTTGTTGGGCAGACATGGGGTCTACCTGCATCCTTGGAACCTTTCCTGAAACTCTGACTTGAGCCTGTAGGAATGACATGCCCTTCCTGGTTCTGGTGGGTGACAGGAAGCTGTCATTCTGTGATTGAGAACCCAGAGGTGACACACTCAAGACTGTGGCTGCATGCACCCCCAGACCACAGGACCAGTCAGATCCTCTCCTGGTCTAAGGGAGGGCTATAGGGGAGCCTTGGGGGACTGAGGCCTTTGTGGGGGCCAGGAGGAGCTACAACAGAACTGAGCTTTGGGGTGCTACCTGGGATCCAGCCTTCCCCAGACTCAGGTCCAGCAGGTGATTCAAGGCCCACTCTATCTGGGGAACCATTCTTAGGGGTGGGAGTGAGTAAAGAGGATGGAGCTCAGGATCAGGCCAGGCTTGGTTGCTTGCTCATCAGTTTCCACATTAAATGATGAAGAGCTTCAGAATTGGGGTCCCTAGGGGTAGAGACCTAACACCCCAGCTTACCTTCCTTCTTGCAGCCTGGGGTCCCCAATGTGCTGGAGCAGGGCCCAGAGAGGGGCTCCAACAATGCCAATCAGGTGCAGATGGTAAGCGTCTGCACATACACCTGCCCTGGCACACACACCTGCCCAGGCCTACCTGCCCATGGCTCATCCCACCACCCACCATGGGACAGCTTGGGCTGTGCTCCATCCTCCCATCCCCCTTCTGTCCTTTAGTTCACCCAAATTCCCCTGATGTGCCACTCCAAGGGCCCTACTCTACTCCTGGTATAAGCCCCCTCCTAACTCTTGTGCTCTCTCCTGCCACCTGCTGCCTGGGTGCAAGTAAGTGAAGTGGCCCTGGGGGAGGGGAGGGGAGGGCTCTCCCCCAGACCAGGACTGTGCCAGGGAAGTGGGAGGGTGGCAAGCAGGGCTATGGCCGGCACCTGGACCATTCCACTTCCCTTCGGGGCCTCTGTGGCCTGCAAACTACAGAAATCAGGCCCTGGACAGGCAACTACTCTTACCAAAACCAGAGTCCAGAAAGATTTGTGTCCTCTTCCTGATGGAAACTGCTTATCTCAGGACCCTAACTCTTCCTGAGTAAAGGCAAAGAGCTGGGGAAAGCTAGAGTCTGAAGAATACATCTCCAGCGCCATACCTTGTGCTGGTTGTGGAGCATAGGGAGCCTGGGTCAGCCATCCTGCTGGACCTGGGGTGGTGTGAGGCCGCAGGTTTCTGAGATAGAGCTGAGTTCCCCAATGTGATGTCAGTACAAGGACTTCTCACGTATGTATGTGTTGTTTAAAAGAATACTTTAAATACCTCTGAAAATATGACAAGTTAAATATAACTGGGGACATCAAGGCCACTCGGAACACCTGAAGGTTCTATGGAACATTCTAGAAATCTCCAGACTAAAGGCTCTCAGAGGTCTTCCAGGTTTAGGGATAGGAGAAGGGGCTTTTCTCTGAAAGAGTCAGGGATGCGGTGCTGAACCTTCCTCTGCCACATCTTGTGAGGCAGGAGCTCTGCTCTAGGGGCGTTGGGCAGGTGGGTGTCCAGTTCCGAGGGGAGATCTGCTGGTCATGCAGCCACCTGTTCCTTCCAGTCACAGAGCTTGGATTTCTACAAGCGAGAGGTAGGTTCTGGGGGAGGGGGGTTTGGGCGGTCTGTGCTCCAGCCCTGATCCTGACTCAAGAGTTCTGGCACCCTAGATAGAGTGGTCGAGGAAAGCGCTGGGCCGGACCCGGGTGAAGTCCTCCATCTGCCTCGAGGCGTGAGTCCAGGCGGGCAGGAAACCCCCAGCCCAGCCCCTTTCTGGACTTGCTTGCCCCTGAGGCCCCTCTGCACTGCCTGGACTTCTTCCAGGTTCCTGACATTCAGCCACCAGCGAGGCCCACATGACCCTATCCTGGCAGGATGTCTGCCCAGCAACCCCTGGGTCACAGATGACGATGCCTACTGGGCCATGAATGCACCCACGTGAGCACAGGGCCGTGGGACCATGGGTGTGCCTCCAGCTTGGGGGGCTGGTAGCAGTCAGTCTCCCACTTCCCCACAGCCCTACCCCTCTCCTCCCAGGGTAGCTGTGCCCACAAAGCTCCGTGTGGAGCGGTGGGGCTTCAGCTTCCGGGAGCTCCTGGATGACCCCATGGGGCGGGCCCACTTCATGGACTTTCTACAGAAGGAGTTCAGTGGTGAGAAGCCCCATACTCCCTGCTCATGGCAGGCTGCTTGAGTGAGGCTGCTGGCTGGCCCTTCCTCCCAGGCTGCTGGCCAGCTTGGGATCCTCCTGTCCCAAGAGGCCTTGGATCCCCATCTTGGCTACCCCTGGGTAGGATCTCTGACTTGGCTCTCCTGGCCCATAGCGGAAAACCTCAGCTTCTGGGAGGCATGTGAGGAGCTGCGCTTTGGAGGGCAGGCCCAGATCCCCACTCTGGTGGACACTGTGTACCAGTGAGTGTGGTGGAATGGTACTGGCTGGCCAGTGTGTGGGCATGTCCAGCCTGGACCCCCAGATGCCATCTCCATCCCAGGCAGTTCCTGGCCCCAGGCGCTGCCCACTGGGTCAACATCGACAGCAGGACGATGGAGCGAACACTGGAGGGGCTGCATCAGCCCCATCGCTACGTCCTGGACGATGCACAACTACACATCTACATGCTCATGAAGAAGGTGGGCCCCATCTGGGCTCATGTCCCCACCCAATCTCATGGGGCCCATCACAGTGTTGGTTGCTTTTGTTACGCTGCCTGTTTGGATTTTGTCCCAAGTATTATCTCTAGTGCCGGCGTGTTTCCCCCACTCCTCTTGTCAGGAGCAGGGGCAGCCCTCTACTGTGTGTGCCGATTTCTACCCTGTGTGCCCCCAGTCCCCTCCCCCTCCTCTGTGGCTGGTGCTTCCATGTCACAACTCTATGCTGTGGTTCTCCAGTGTGCAGACCCCACAGCAGAGTCATGCTTGACCCTTCCTTAGTTATCACTTTAAAAAAAAAATAACAAGTTGGGCCCCAGTATTGGCCAAGGGTGGTCAGTGAGGCTTGGAAGTTGTTTTGGTTTGGGTAGCACTGGGGTGCCATTTTTATTTTGAGACAGGGCCTAGCCGAGATGCTGAGGCTGGCCTGGTTTACCTCTCCATATGTGTGGGCACTGTAGCTCCTGGCTATCTTTTGTTGTATTGTGGTCCCACTAGATGGGAGCCAGGTCTCCTCAGGTCTGTCCACCTTGATCTGGGCAAGTCAGGGTGGCTGCTGCCAGCCCTTTTCCTGTCAGGGCCTCTGTGTAGGCAGGACAAGATCCCAGCAATGCTGGGTTGGACCCAGTGCCTCATACGTGCTAGGCAAGTGCTGTCCCCTGAGCTCCAGCTCAGCCCAGGATGCTGTCTCTGGCAGGACTCCTACCCGAGGTTCATGAAGTCTGACATGTACCAGGGCCTACTGGCAGAAGGTGTGATTCCACTGGAAACAAAGAGACGGTGAGCCCAGGAAGTCCCTGTGCCCACTGAGTGGTGAGGGCCCTGCAGGGAGGAGACAGGGCCTTCCTGCCACTTGTCTGGCCTCTTCTTGCCACAGGGTATTCCCATTCATGCGGAAGCCTCGGCTCTCGAGCCCCAGCCCTGCTCTGCCGCCCACCTCTGGGGAGCCCTCAGCAGCTGGAAGCGCTGCAGGTGGTGACGAGGAGAGCTAGGAGGCTCACCTCCAGCCAGCGACACCTGTGATGGTGGCCATCCTCTCCTGCACCCCGTGGCACTCGACCTGAGTCCAGAGGGCCCAGCCTTGCCAGCCTTTCTCCAACTTCTCCTTTCCCTCTGACATGACATCTCCTGCCCAGAAGGGACTGGTCCTGGAGAGGGATCTCACTGGCCACACTTGGCCAGGAAAGGACTTATTCCCAGAGAAAGGGGAGGCCAAGGCCGAGGCCATGTGGAGCCCCTGGCATTCTGCAGCCTTCAGCTCAGCACTGGGTGCCCTTCCCCACCAGAGAACACTAAGACAGCTGGCACAACAGGACACCTGTCATGAGATGAGGACAAGCAGGCTTCTGGGCCCTCCACTCTGCCCAGGCACAGCTCCCCCGCCCTATGACCCTAATCCTGCTGAGACCATTCCAGCCTCTTCCACCTACTCTTGTGTGCTGTCCATGGCACCCGCCCCAGGTTCAACAGATGACTCCATGCTGTCACTCTGACCCGGAGCCTCCCAGTTCCCTCAGGGCAGGTCTTTGCCAGGATGGCACAGCCAGTGTCCATTCTTCCCATCTAAACCTTCCTTTGGGCTACTGGTGTTATTCCCTCTCTGGTGAGGGTACCCTGCTTTCCCGGACCTAGGCTAAAGGCATGGGCTAGTTCCTTTTGAGGTGCCACCCACCCATAGGCCTGGCCCACATCCTTTCCCCATCCACTCTGGTGCAGAAATAAAAGGACCTCAGCCCTGCACTGGTCATATGCTGGTGAATGCACGTGGTGTGAGCACGTGAGGCATGTGTGTGTGAGCTGGCCACAAGGCAAAGGTCAGTGGGCATGGCTCAGGTGTAAAGGTGACCTCCCTCAATGTGCAGACTCTCAGGCTCCAGGCTGCGCTGAGACTTGGGGAGGTGGAGGGTACAGTCTGTGCTCTGGCAGCCCAAGGTGAGCAGGGGCCTTACAGGCGTAAGGATGCTGGCCAAAAGAGGAAACTGCCAAGGAAGCGCTCATGGGAGGGGCTCCTGGCATTTACACAGCACCTCCTGGGCAGCTGTGCCCAGCCTTCTCTAAGGCCCTGAAGTTGCAGGGGCTCAGCATGGGCAGAGCCTCTAGGACCCTTGAGTGGCCATGGTCATAGTAACAAGTTTAGGAGGTGAAGACTGTGGTTGGAGGGAAGCTGGGAATAGACTCCTGTCCTCAGCAGTCACCAGGTGACCTGCAGAGCACCTCCCCCAGGGATGGCTCTACTGAAGCCCCTGGCAGTTCTCATATATGCCACTCACTGTCCCTATAGCCCCTCTGTGCTCAGGTTCTGTAGGCTGGGTTGCCTTTATTTTTCAGGAACAGTGGACCTACTTCCTAGCACAACACCCAGTTGTTCAACCTTAACCCCACATCCCCACCCCAGGCCTTCCCAAGGAGAAAGAGGAGCAAGGATACCTTAGAGGCTACGAGACCAGAGCTGTATTTAAACCACAGCAAGCTCTGGCAGGCTCCTCATTTCCAGGCTGCATGGCATCTCCCTGAAGCCCCTCCCAGCCTTACCCTGCCCCAGTGGTAGCAGGTGCTCACCCAGCCCTCCACTGCAGGCCCATGCTGGCCCAAGGCTCCTGCTTACATGGGGCTTGGTGCCCTGCTGGTCAGCAGTTCTCAAACCCCAGGACTCGCTCCCAAGGCTGTATGGTGACTGCTGGGCCTGTAAATTCCTGGCCAGTAAATTCCTGCTTTGCTCCTTGGGCAGACAGGCAGATGGCGGGCTCACACCAGACCACAGGGCTCTTCGAGACAGTGCACGTTTATTCTGTAGTTTCTGTGGTGACTGGCATCATCAGGCTCTTTGCTACAGAGCTCAGGTTCTGGACTGGGCAGGGCTGCTCCTTGCAGAGCACAGCAGTTGCCCTTGGGCCTCAGGAGCGACAAGGCACAGAGTGAGTCCTACATCAGATGAGCACCAGGAAGTGGGGCAGGAGGTGCTCCCATGCCCAGGGACATGGGGCCTCTATTAGACAGCAGCTCCTGTGTGCGGAGGGCACAGACTGACACCAAGTGGATGCAGTAAGGACACCTGTGAGCTGTGGTGCAGGCCCCCTGCCCACCTGTAGGGGGCACCCCCACTCTAGATCCCTATTCCTCTCCCCCCATGGGAGCTGCTTCCTCTGCTCTGGGTAGGCCTGGGGGGCTGCAAGGCCTCAGGCCTTCCCCAGCACCCATCCTCTGATCTTCATGATCCCAGGGGTCAGTGCAGAGGGGGGACCAGGCAAGAAGAGGAGGGGCACGCAGATCAGGCCTGGGAGTTGCACATTCTACAGTGGCTTATCTGGCCTGGGAGAAGCTGGCAAGGAGAGGGCACAGAGCAAGGGTGCCATGCCACAAGGTGAGCTCTGCGCACAGCCCAGGAGGCTGCAGGGGCACCCTGGCCTGCTAAGACCCTCAGGGCATAGTGAAACCCAGTGCAGCTCAGTGTGCACATGGAGTGCTGGGTCAGGGGCCTGGGCAACCCCATGTACATCCTCGGTCGTGACCAGTAAGGCTGTGGCTCCCAAGTGGACAGTGGTTACCAGGTCAAGAGTGGGGATTCTATAGGAGGCTGAGGGAGGGGCCCACTTCCCAGGGTGCCTGGCTTCTGCAGTTGGAGTCTTTCCACGTGCTGCAGCTGGTTCCATTTATACCTAGCTTCGGTACCGTAGCCGAGAGAAGCGGTCCCTGATGGCCTGATCACTGTCTGGCCCGCCGTCACCCAGGCGAATCACCCTGCTGCCTGGGACAAGGTCCCGTACCTTGTGCTTGGTCACAGAGACCAGGCCAGGCACATTGGGGCTTGCTGGGCCAGTCAGGAGGACATAGGCAGCATGGCGACTCGGCTCAAACAGGAGCGCTGTGGGGGAGAAGCTGTTAGAGCCTCTCAGGGTCAGCCAGAGCAGACCTGGGTGCCCGGGCCCACGACCACACTCACCATCGAAGGCAATGATGTGGGCAGAGGTGTTGACCAGCTCCAGAAGGACGCTGGGCAAGGTGGGGTGGAACATGTACAGACTGTGCTGGGCGACTCTGGGCTCCTGGAGTGAGGACCGCCAACAGGCCTCAACACTCCCGCTGTCCCCAGGCCAAGGCCACATCCTAGGCAATACTCAGGCCACCTTCAGGGATGCCTCACTACAGCTACCATGCCCAGAGCTGACACCCACCAGGAAGCCCCCCTTCCCAACCTGAGTTTGGTCCTGTTCCTTCCTGGCATCCATTATATCAGCTCTCCCCAACACAGAGCCCCCGTCAGCCCTAGGAGAATGTAGGGCACGTTCCCCACTGTGGCTCACTCCCACTAGGCTTCAACTGATTTGGGATGGGCCAGCCACCAATGGGCAGGGCTATCCCGAGTGTGTCCCCCCATACCATCTCATTGGTGCTGGCTAGTTCATGGAGGCCCCAGAAGAGGAAGGCCGAGCGGTGGTCAGCAGTTGGCAGGCTGGCAGAAGGTGGGCCTCCAGGGAAGCTGGGGAGGGCCTGGCTCCACAGGACAGCCCCACTGCCAAGGTCCAGAAGCAGGATCTGGGGAGGGAGGGGACACTGGGGAGCACTGGGATAAACTCAGGGCTTACATGGGCACACATGCCCCTAGCCATGCCAGCATGGAGGCAGCTGCTCTCTTGGGGGCAGCCAGAACCTTCTCTCTGGTCTGAGGGCAGCTGCCTCTGGGGCCACAGTGTTGCTTCTCAACTGTGTCAAGTTGGAATCTCTGGAGGAAGTAAAGCCCACCTGTCTATCAGTGCCAGTTCCATTTTCAATGACCACGGCCAAGGTGTCTGGCTTGTAGTGGCCAAGGATGGGTTTTCTGGAAGAGGAGTAGAGAAGAAGAGTTCACAAGGGATCTCTGTAAAGAGACTAGGATGAAGGAAACACCTGGGGACAGTGTGCCACTCAGTCCTCTGTGTCCATACCAGGACAGGGCTGGGGATGCCCATATCTGGCCCCAGGACTAGGAGATGACCCTCAGAACCAGAGGTTTCACTGGCCCCGCTATAGGGGCAGGGCAGCACCATGGCTAGGAAAAAGGCCTTTGGCAGAAGAATGTGGACCCCTCCAGCCTGCCCCTCCACCCTCCTACCAGCCAGGGGGGTGGGCTGCAGATGCCAGGAGGGGACAAGGGGATAGACTCCATACCTCATGACCTGGACTTCACCGAGGGTCCACCTGGGTGTCAGCTCCTGTCCATCCAGGAGTACACAGGCCTCAGAGCTCACAAGGAGCAAGTCCTGGCCAGATTTCCCTGGAACGCTCATCAAGTAACGGACTGCTCCAGAGCTGGACAGGGGAGCAGAAAGAAGCACACAGTGCCTGGGCTGCCTCACACCCCACCAAGCCTGTGGGGACTGACTCCTGCAGGTTCCCACAACATAGCCCTATGCCTCAGCCCCCCAGCTGGAGGAAAAGCAGGACCCTGGTAGCTGGGGGGAAGATGAGCATCCCACCAGGGCGCTCTCTCCTGAACGGGACTGGACTCTGGTTGCCCAGGGAGGAGGAGGAGGAGGAGGAGCATCCCACCAGGACTCTCTCTCCTCAAGGGACCCTGGCTGCCCAGGGAGGAGGAACATCCCACCAGGATGCTCTCTCCTCAGCTGTGCTTGGCCTCCATCTGTCTGTGTCCCTTTTCTGAATACAGGATGGTCTCATGGCCCAGAGCTACACAGTGGCCCTCAGCCTGTTTGGCTCTCTTGTGGTCCTTGCAGGTCCCAAAGCCCGACCCGTGGGACAAACACCATGCTCCAGACCAACCTGCGCAGAAGCTGCCTGGTGGCAGAAGTGTTGAGCATGCTCTCCCAGAGGGGGTCTCTCTTGAAGGGGCTCTCTCTCCCAGTCACCCTCTCATAGAGACCCTTCACAGAGCAGCTGCACAGGGAACTTTCTATTCAAAACAGAGGAGCAGGAGTTACCAGGGTCACCCGGCAGCCCCACACCCAGCATGCTGCCACCCATGGTCCAGGTGCTTGGGTCCCCTGAACTTTGGGATTAACCAGCACCTCTGTGACAGAGGGCAGCAGATGCCCTGGGGGCAGAAGCCAGCTTCCCTACATGCTGCTTTCTCCAGGGCGCTGAGCTCATCTGTTGAAGACCAGCACTCCTGTGAGTAGGAAGCGCCCCCTGGGAACGCAGGGGCCGGCATACCGCAGGGCAGGAGGATGTAGTGCGCGCCCGTCCGGGTGACATGGAGGAGAAGGCCACTGTTTCCGTCCACACCGAGGCTGCCTCTGTGGCCAATCTGGCGCCCAGTGCTGCCTGAATAGATGTACCCACTGACCTGCGGTGACAAAGGACAGTGGAAGAGAGGTAGACCTGGACCTGCAAGAGAGTCTGGGGTCAGACCCGATCCTCTCTGGAAGGTGGAAGTGGACAAGGAGGCAGAGAGGAGGCAGCATGGGGCTGGGACTGGGGATTCAGGAAGAGAGCAGTGTGGGCCGGCACCTGCGTGGCCTCCCGGGTAAGGATCAGCAGATCTGGAGCCCCATCACCATCGACATCAGGCACCTGGAGCAGAGGGCTCAGGACAGAGGCATTCCCACCAAAGCTGCTGGGTTGGCTCCACAGGGTCTCCCCTAAAACCAAGCACACCATCACTGTACAGGTGTACACTGCAGACACCTTCCCAGGAACCTTACAATGGCCCTGGGGAAGTCATCCACGCTCAGGGCCTGTGGTCCACACATTCAGAAATGGGAACATGTGTGAATGGGCCTGACGTCCCGTCAAGAGGAACAGATACTGTGCTGAAGATGTGGCACGCCCACGTGAGAAAAGACAGTGGCCACTGGAAAACAGCAGTGTTACTCCTGGAAGACTTCTCTTCCTGGACTCCACCTGGAACCTCCTACTCCTGGGCACTGGGCAAGGGCTGCTCCAGAACACCCAGGGCCAATGTGACCCTTCCCAGCTGGGAGCAGGGCCTCATCTGGGCCAAGTGGCACCCACAGGTATAAGCTTCTGCCAGGAGAGAGTGCCTTGGAGCCAGATCCTTGGTCGGGGGCCAGGGCCTGTCCTCACCATGCCTTTCTTCTCCCAGCCCTCCACCTAGGGCCCACCTGTAAGCAGGTCCACTGCAGTGAGAGAACTGGGTCTTCCCACAAGGACACAGGCAGACGACTTGCCATCTGACAGCCGGGGCACAGCACAGTCCACCAAGGCCACGTCTTGGGCCACAGGCCTCTCCCAGAGCACGCTGCCATTGGCCCCTGACACGGCAGCCGCGAAGGCACAGGGAGAGGAGAAGCCTGAGGGGAGAGACCACAGCCTCCAGTCAGTGGTGCAGCTGGCCCTCTTCATGCCCTGCCTGCAGCCCTGGGCCTGGGCCTCGCCCTGCTTCCTTTGTCTCTGGTTCTTAAGCTCAGACTCACAGCCCCAAGTGGGGTGGATAGGGCTAAGCCTGCCCCCTTGCCTCTTCCCACTCCTGGAAGGAAGGAAGAGGGATGGGATGGTTTCCAGAATCCCACCACTTGCCTCCCCAAACACCACAAAAGTGAGAATGTGACCCAGAACAAAGACCCCTCTCCCTGTAGGGAGCCCCTCCTTCTCAGATAAAACCAAAATACCTTCGTCAGCGCAGGATTGGTTGGAATTGTCAGTGCTGTTGGTATTTTTATAAAGAAAGACAACATCTTGGATCCTGTCCCTGTTTATGTCTTCCATGGCCAGAAAGTCATAGGTAACTGAAAAAGAAGCCACGGACCATGTTCCACAGGCCATGCCTGTCTGCAGAAAGGTCAAGTCTAACATGACCCACTGCTCTGCTCTGCCTGCCACTGTGAGCAGGTTTTCCCCCCACACTGAAAAAAGCAGCAATTGTTCAGGAATGTGACAGGCCAGGCAGATCCTAGCAGGTGTTGACACAGGCAGGATGCTCAGGCAGTACAAACAGGTGCTTTAAATGCTTGGGTTTGAGAGGGATCCTCCTGGACCAGCTTGGGACCCAGACAGCCACACTCCGTCCACATTCAGGCCTACTGCTTCCTTTTATTCAAGGACTCAAATGACACACTCTGTCTTAAAATCAAACAGCAGAAGAATGACAATGGGCCCTTAGCTTACACAAAAGCTCAAAACAAATCAGTCCAAAACAGAGAGCTAAAACTATAAAGTGCTTTACACAGGGAAGTCTACATGGCATTGGATTTAGGAATGATTTTTTAGACATGACGCCCAAAGCACAGGCAACAGAACAAAAAGTTAATGAGACTTCATCGAAGTTCAAAGCTTTTATGCATCTAAGGTCACTATCAATAGATTAAAAAGATGACCCGCGGAACAGGAGAAAATATTTGCAAGTCATATGCATATGGCACAAGTGTCCAGATTATAAAGACTCCCGTGGCCCAATAACAGAACAAACAACACAGTGAAAAATGGGCAAAGGACCCTAAGAAGATATACATGTGGCCCCTGGGCACATGAAGAGACAGGCCACATCACTAGTCATCAGGGAACTGCAAGGCAAGACCATAAAGAGGCTGCTTCAGACCCATGGTGTGGCTGGCATGAAGGAAAGGCAGGACTGCTGCCACACTGGGGGGCTCCACGGTGGGAGCCCAGGGTGCTGCCGCCAGGAGGAAGGCCAATCAGCCTCTCAGAACATGGGCTGGAAGTGTGCTCAGGCGAACTGTGGTGCTAGTCTTTTTGTTTGTTTTGTGATACAAAGGGTGGAGGCCAGGGGTGCTCAACAACAGCTTCATCCTCAGTCCTGTGTTTTGTTTTTGAGACACACCCAGCATCTAATCGCTTCTACCTCAGCAATTTGAGTTTTGTTTAACATCCCCAAATCCATTACTGTAGTATACCAAGTGGATAGTATGAAGGGAGTACCACATAACCACCTCAGAGACAGAGAAGGCCAGCACACAGCCACACCCTCCATCCCAGGGACTCGAGAGAGGCTGATCACAAGTTGGAGGCCAGCCTTGGTAACTTGCCAAGACCCTATCTCAAAATAAAAATAAAAAGGGCTGGGGTGCAGCTCAGTGGTAGAGCACCCTGGATTCAGTCCCTAGCGTGTCATGTGAAGAGAGAGCTGTCACACTCGAGGCATATGAAACACCTGGAAAAAGTGACTTTACAGAAACAAAAAGCCCAGCAGGCACAAGAAACAACCTATCCTCCTTCCTAGGACCAGGAGAAGAGGACAAGGCAGGGGGAGGGGGCACAATGGTCCTGGAATCTGGACAAATGACACTAAGTAAGCTTCAATGAGAAATTCTCTTTATCCCCCAAAAGAAGTCAAGTATGCAAAGCAGCACAGCAGCAGAGGTCACTGGCTCTCCCACCCACTGCCAGGACAACTGTGCATGCTGTTCTGAGAGGAGGAGGCCAATTCAACAGGCACACTTCACTCTGGCTAGAGCAGAACAAGCCTGGATGACACCACCTGCTGCATACCTCCCATGTTTCATAACACCTGAGTCTTTCCGCCAGTTGTATGTTTTATAGAAAAAATTATCAAAAAGAAAGTAACCAAGCCAGTTGCGGTGGCCATGCCCATCATCCCAGGGACTAGGAAAGCTGAGCGGGAGGATTCCAAGTTCAAGGTCTGCCTGGGCAACTTAGTAATGCCCTGTCTCAAAATGAAAAATAAAAAGGTCTGAGGATGTGAGGTCATTGGCTTATGTCCTCATGTTGGTTAAGCACCCCTGGCTCAATCCCTAGTACCAGAAAAGAATAAAGGAAAATAGAAGAAAAGTAGCTGCGAGCTGTGTGTGCCTGTCCACCCAACCAAAGAAGTGCTTCTGGTTTCACTGAGGCTGCTCTGGAGCACCCTAAAACCCCTGTGGAGGTGTGCTTTTCAAGTGGGGCACAGAACTGGCAGACACTTGGTTGACTCACTGTCAAAGACCACAGTCCTGCCTCCTCACCTGCTGTGTTGTAATCGATCCTCCACATTCGCTGGGACTCTGGTCGGTCTGGACACGGGATGATGAACGAGACAACAAACACCACGAAAAGGCAGGTAAACAATGACAGGAAGAACGCCACGGTGCGGCAGCGGGACAGCCGGGTCTGTGGAGGTGTGCTTTTCAAGTTATCTTCATTCTTCAACCTGTTCCCCAGATTTTCCGGTGATTTTCGGTCTTCATTCTTCAAGGGGTGGATTTCGGCTTCTAAATCCTTGTTGTCCATCATTCTGTCACATCCCAAAGCTTAGCTCCTGGTCACTGTATCTGTAAAACAGGAGCAGTTAAGGCCAGCAGCCAGCAGCTGCAGCTCCCCACACATGCGCAGCATCCAGTCTTCCAGCAGTCTGCTGCAGCTGCCACTGTCGACCTCAGCCCCAGAAATACAGCTTCCTGAGCACTCAGGGTGTTGGCCTGAACAGATTCCACCCAGCAGGCCTGCAGTCAATCTGGAAGGCACACGGGTGTGCACAGCAGGCAGGAAGGGCACTCTCACACTGGGGCTTCCTGCCTGCTGCTCCAGGGCTTGGCCAAGCTCCTGCCCTTCCATGGGCACAGATGGGAGAGGCTGCTGGAACAACGTTCTCACACGTGGACACCCTTGGGCACACGGACTCTAAGTTCAAGGAATCTCAAATGAAGTGCGCTGTGGCATCTCAGCCTTGCCCCATCGTGTGACCTGGGACCATGATTGGATTGGTCTGCGATTCAGTGCCCTTATCTGTAAAAGGGACATAATATCTACTTAGGAGACTAGAAGACTATTTTAAGGATTAAGTCATTGTGCATGTAATGCACTAATAACAATAGTAAGCACTCAAACACTAGCTCCTTGTTACAGCAGTAAGACAAAGTGTGTATCAGCAGAAGTAAGGCACAGGACGAAAATGGACAGGGGCAGGGAAAGCCAGACTCGGAGTGACAGCCTCTGAGTCCCAGCTGCGGAGGGAGGTAGAAGGTCTCTGTTGGCCCAGTCCCCTCCTGCTGCTGGTTGATGGTGGGTGTGGTAGGGATACCTGGAGTGGCCACCTCAGAAACCCAAATGGAAAACATACTTGAAGATGGGAAAGCTGAAGTCCAGAAAGAGTGGGGCACTGTGAAATCTGAAAACCACCTCTGCAGCCCTGAGTTGTTTGTGCTGTAGGATGTGAAACAGAAACAGGCTTATGCCTTGCTGCAGCAAGAGATCTGTAATCCTGGTCCTTTTCAAAATTCAAGCTGGTGCCCTAACTAATACAAATTACATGGAGAGGATGGCAGGGATCACAGGATCAGGTGAGTTAAAGCCTTTATCTACCCAAACAGGAAGCCAGCAGCCCAAGCTGGAAGGGCAGCAGACAGAGGGCCCCAGAAGACTGCTACTGAGGGATGGGTCTGGATGGACCAGACAAGAGACTGCTCTTTTCTGTTTTGAATTTTTCCCTTTTTGACTTTCATTGTTTTTCTTTATTTAATAAAAATAATTCATTGAAAATCCTGTGCACATACCCACTAAAATGGTTTTTATTTAAAAAATAAAAAAACATTCGAGTGAGGATGTGAGAAGTGGAGCTCAAACACTGCTGGTGGGAAAATGGTACAGCCATGTGGGGAAACAGGCTGGCGGTTCCTCAAAAGCTAAGAAGAGGGGCTGGGGTTGTGACTCAGTGGTAGAGCACTCGCCTAGCATGTGCGAGGCCCTGGGTTCGATCCTCAGCACCACATAAAAATAAATAAATACAATAAAGGTATTGTGTCCAACTACAATCAAAACAAATATTAAAAAAAAAAAAAAAGCTAAGAAGAGCTGGGCATGGTGGTCATGCCTGTAATCACTGTGCTCAGGAGACTGAGGCAGAAGGATCACAAATTGGAGGCCAGCCAGCAACTTAGTGAGACCCTGTCTCAAGATGGAAAAAAATAAATAAATAAAAAGGGCTGCTCAGTGGTTAAGTGCCCAGGTTAAAAAAAATAAATAAATAAAAATAAAGTTAAGCAGAGTTACATGCTATCCAGCAATTCCACTTCTATATACCAACAATAATTTAAGGCAAAGACTAAAACACTTATAAATAAATGTTCATTGCTTCATTATTCACCATAGCCAAAAGGGAGAAACAACTCAATGTTCATCAACAAATAAGTGGAGGAACAAATGTGGTCCGTCCTTACAGGGCCGCCTCTAAGGTGAGGCTGAGGGGAGTGAGCCTCCAAGGCTGCACTCCCTGGTACAACTCAGACACCCGTGTCCACATTTGTCTGACTCTGTGTGTGTGAAACACACAGGACAGGCACATCTACAGGACATTAAGTAGGTTAGGGACGTGGGGAAGAACCACTCAGGAGTGGGTTTCCCTTCTGGATGACAGAAGTGTGGCAATGGTTGCAGATGCACCAAATGGCACTGATAGAAAATCTTATGTCATGTGTGTCTGAGCACAACTGAAAACACAAACCTGTGTGTCCTCTCCTCAGTGCTGAGGCATGAGTTGAGTTTTAATATCTTGGAGATCAGGAAATGTGTGGCTATACAGGTAATGAGTTGGATGCAAGGGAAATCAAACAATGAGTCATGAGGGGGACTCATTAAGCCGGCACATGAATGGCATGGGAAGGTGTGGCAGGAGCTTTGTGGAAAATGCAGTTGGGGTGTGGGGGAGCCAGGGGCCTGGACTGCAGCGGCTTGACAGCAGGACCAGGGTGCAAGGCACCAGTGCCAGGAGAGATCTCTGCTCTGCAAACCTAGCTCTACGTCCCAGGTCCCCAGAAGGGACACTTGAGATGTTTCAGAAGTTCTTTTAGCAATGCTAAAATTCTAGATTTCTGTCTTTAAGGCATTCTTTAGGTCTAACCCTTTGGGAAGGAAACCTTACTTCTCTAAGCTGTGGCTGCCTCATTACCGGAAGCGAGAGCACCTTCTGGGCACAGCAAGCACCCTTAAGCCTCAAGCACTATGCAAAAATGAGGGGTGCTGCTCTCTCTCTGCTTCCTGATCATCATATGAGTTGTTTCCCTCTGCCACACTCTTCCACCATGATATCCGGGCTCACCTCAAGCCCCGAGGAATGGAGCCGGCATTCTGTGGACTAAGATCTCTGAAACCTGTGCCAAGGTGCTCCCACAATGCCACAGAGAACTCACAGAGAAGCTGCATCCTTTTGAGGGAAATGCAGGAACACTTGACCTCTGTTGGGGTGCGCTGTGAACCATCAGCTCCAGGAAGTTCACGTATTCAACATTAGATCAGTGATGTCACATCTTTGTACAGTCGGGTTTTTACTGGTGTTGTGATAAAGAGTGAGCCTTGTACAAAAATCAGTAATGATTCTGGAAATAAGTGTGATTATGTCCAACCCGACTGGAAGGTTTCAGAAGCTGTGTGATGGCTAAGAGGTACATGCATTTTGTTAGTTAAGAAATTTATTTAACAATTAAATACAAATTATTTTTCTTCCAGGGTATGTGATTTTTTTCAAACAGCTATCAATTTAGGGCATAAATACTTATTATTTAGACCTAACAACTTAAAACATTGTTTTGTATTTCTTTTGGTCTAAGGGTACTGTGAAAACCTAGATAAAACTAGACACTAGAGCTCCATGAACCTAGAAAGTTTGGGAACCTCTAACAGAATAAATTTTTATAGTGAAACTGTTAGTTCGGAGGCTCTGCAACCTTTACATGTTTTAAGTGTGGTCAACTGCCCTTCAAAAATATGACACCAGAGGGGTTAAATTAAAAGAGACACCGTGACCCATGCATTGTGCCAAGTTTGATTTTTTTAAGTGATACAAAAAAAAAAAAAAGAAGAAGAAGAAGAAAAGAAAAGTAAAAAAGCATCTCTAGTCATTTTGGGCTTTGAATCCTAAAGGCAGAAACTATTTTACTTCACCCCCAAGTCCCAGATCGGCTACAGGGTTCGGTAAATGCATGTTGACAAAATAAAAACAACCCTTTCCCCAAGGGTTGCTAAGGCAAGGTTGAAAATAATGTCAGGCTATAGTCAAATTACACATGCATACTTCAGGTTGCCAGATAAAATAGAGAATGCTCAGTTGAGTTTAAATTTCATAACCCAAACCCAGAAAGTCAAGGTTCATATATTTTCTCCATGTGTGGAAGCTAGAGAGAAACAAGGAAAAAAGCAGGATCTCATAAAAATAGAAGGAAGACCAGTAGAGTAGAGGAAGGGGATCAGAGGGAGGAAGATGAGGAGGGAAATAGGAGGTACGGGGGAATGAAATGGACCAAATTATATCATTATATTGTGTGCATGTATGAATGTGTAACAATGAATTCCATTATTATGGATAATTATAATGCATCACTAAAATATTACCAAACATTTAAATTTCAAATAAACAAGAAGTAATTATTTTAAAGTAACTATTTCCAAATTTTGCATTCGATGTACCTCTACTATAAAAAATTGTTCCTTGAGATGAAAATTGCACCTGAGTGTCAAGAAGAACCTAAGGAAACATGACCACCAAGGGCAGTGTGGTATCCTGAGTGGGATCCTGGGACAGGAAGAGGACATTAAGGAAAGACTGAAGACATCTAAGTAAGGATTTTTACAAATAATATTGTATCATATCATTTTAATAATTGTGACAAATATGCCATACTAATGTAAGATGTTAATAATAGGGGAAATTGCGATAAATAAGAACTATCCATATAATTCTGTAAATCCAAACCTGTTTCAAATTTAAAAGTTTATTAAAATTTAATTCTTTATTAAGATTTATTAATATTGTTAACTCTGGCAACCCTGACACTCTTACTTTCAAACAATAGTTAATCATACAATATGAATACTTAAAAAAAAAAAAAAAGAATGAGGAGTGCTGCTCAAAAGGATCTGGGAGTCTAAAAAAAGGCCTATCCACTCCCCAGTACACATTTCCCAGGCCTACTTGGGCCTGGGGCCACTGGAATCTGTGTTGAATAGCAGCACCTGACCAGCTACCAGCTCAGCTGGTCACTAGGCCTGGGCAGCAGACCTATGTCTTCATAAGCCCATGTAGATCTAGTAATTGTGAAGCCATGAACAGTGCATCTCCCTCAGTTCCTGCCACAACTGTGGTCCCCAGCCTCAGCTGCCGTAATCCTACTGCAGCATCCCAGACCAAATAATCAGCTCCTCTGGATGGGGATCCAGGGCAGGAGTGCTGCTGATGCTCTCCTGGTGATTCCCAGGTGCAGCCAAGTGGAGAAATACTGGCTGAGCATCTGCTCTGATCTGTGCACCCCACCTGAGCATCAGAGGAAGACCAGATTTCTCC